CGTAGATGCGCCATCTCTACTCCCAACACAGAAGCTATACTCTGGCTCGTTAGGCAAGGTGACAAATGTATTCGCTGGCGGCAACACGTCTTTCCTCGCCGTTGAAGCGACCAAAGGCAACAAGACTACTGCAGACACATGGGCTTTTGGATTCGGTCTTACTGGTCAACTCGGTGTTGGTCGGTGGGTGCACACGCAAGCCGATCCCGTCAAGGTTCCCGCCTTCTCCGGTCTTTTCGAGTGGGACGAAGCCAAGAACACTGCAATTCCGATACGTCTATTGAACATCTCAGTTGGATCAACCCATGCCGCCGCCATCCTCGACAACGTTGCCAGCGTCGCTGTGACCGGCCGGTCAAAGAAGCTTACTGATAACGACACAAACTGGGGTCGCGACATCCTGTTCTGGGGTAACAACGAATACTACCAAATCGGCAGTGGCAAGCGGAGTAATCTAGCCACACCAACATACATCCAACCACTTGACCAAGCCGCCGAGCAAGAGCGAGCTGCGTCTGCAGGCGGCTTCGGAAAACAACTAAGAGAAAAGGAGATGCACCGTTTCCAAATCACACCACGAAACAAGGTCAAGGTCAATGGCCGCACAGTCGAATTCGAGCAAAAGGTGGAGTGTGGACGGGGATGCACTGCCGTTTACTCTGCTGTCTGATCTACCAGCTACTGTTTGTGTTTTTTCTTGTACATATACCTCCGCCTTTTAGGGCAGGCACCGCAACGTTTGATGACATGTAAGAGTAGGTTGAAGGATAGGCTATTTCTCTCCCAAATCAAATCAAGAGTGTTTGATCTTCAGAATCACACCATCACAATGATAACAAAATTTCCACATCTGTTAGCGTGTCTGTGTGACTAGTGTCGGGTATAAGCGTCGCCCGGACGGCTGCTGGCGTGCGCATGTCGTGGGTCCGTATACTCCACTATTCAATCAATTTGAGATTCGTAGGGAGATGCGATACGCGCTGATGCGATTGGTGGCATTATTCTCATACCGGAGAGTAAAGATGACGTCTGTGTTGTAAGAGGTAGAGAAAGGACTACAAGATGGTCCACGACACTTACCTACAGAATGTGGCCATGACAAGACGTGTTCGGAGCGATGGATTGAGGAGGGACACTAGGGATGTGGCAGTGGATTCGAAGAGGAGTTTTTATGGGGAGTAGCGGGAGAAAAGAGTAGTCATCGAGATGTTGAAATATGTGTGATTGCACCGACTACAAGCCTGTGTCGGCGACCTAACTAGCTGATGTGGGTATATGGTACAAGACGCGCGAAGCTACATGACTTTTGGTACAGATGATAACAGTAATAAAAAAGAATAGCTCGCAAACTGGAGAAAAAACGTATAAACAAGAACGGCCTACGCTAGTACAGAAAGACAAGATTAGACAACCGAAAAACACGTACTCAGGCCGCCGAAGAAACTCCTCCGAGCTCGCCCGAGATTAAAGAAATTGGGGACGCAGAGTCGATCAAAGCCCCATGCGCTGGATCATGGCTCGTGATTCGGCCTCAGATAGTTCGTTGCCGTCGATGTTGATGCGACCTTCTTCGACTTGCGCGAGATCTGGCTTGACGAGGCCTTCGTGGAGGTACTTGAGAAAAGATAGTAGCTTCTCTTCGAATTCGGCATATGGATAACGTTCCTGGGCTGCTTCTATCGCCTGTAGACTTGATTGCGCCCGACCGTTTGGTAGTAGTTCGTTGATGTATTGGCGCTTGATCCTGGTCCACTCGCAGTTCTCTTCGCGAAGATTACCTTCAGCACAGAAGAGTCTCCTCATTGCTGCCACGTCCGCTGGTTCTTCGGCCCATCGTTCGACGCCAGGGCAGCCATAGGCGAAGATGGTGTTAAAAGCTTCGTCACCGTAAGCACCATTACGAAGATATTCGCCGATGATAGCCTGTAGCATGAATTGTGCTGCCAAGTCGAACCACTCAGCCGTTGGCAGCCAGTCGTCATCCAGATTGACACGTGCGGCGGTAAGCTCGATGAAGACAGGGAGTAAACAGTGGAGCGAGGGCGTGCCTGCTACATCGGTCACCCACCTCCGCTGATCGACAGGCATTCTCAGTGCGGAGGCAAGAGCAGAGCGGTTTTCGTAAAGAGCGCCATCGGAAAGAGGAAAGTCCTTCTGCTGGTCGAAAGGGTCCTGGAGCGCAGAAGGATGCTGAGTTCGTTGCCGCCAGTACTCGCCACGGGATTTGTTCTGCTCGCGCAGACTGTTCAGTGACTCTTCGGTTGTCCAGGTCTCATCGTGATGCAGCCGATGTGTGAAGATCAGGGCAAACTGCAACAAACGCGATCGAAATGACGCCTTGGCATCTAGGCGTCGGCCATGGTGTCTGTGCCCGAGGAATGTCCTCCAATCTGATAGTCGTGAGCACGTGATGCATTGCCGTAACAGGCGCAAGTCATACCAGCAGTCATGTTGACGAGCGCATTGGGCAGATCTGAATGGTATGGATCACTGCTCGATTTCCACTCAAAGACCAAGTCAATGGCCTTGTAGACAAGGAAATCTAAGATGGTGAGATCGACGTCGAATTGGTCTTCCTCTTCAGTCTCCATGCGCCGGGTCAGGTTCAGGTAGCCTTCCCTGGGGTGTCCGTTGCTGTCGTGTGTGTTTGCCATGGCTTGGTGCAGGGTGCTGTAGGTGGGGAGAAGGGGGCGGGAGGCGGTCAACATGGAAGGTAGGGCGATATATAGGCAAGTGAATGACGGAAAGGACTGTACTGTGCAAAGGCTGGAGGGAGCTGAGGGAGGAAGAGCACTCGAGGCGTGATAGCAAACGGGTTATAGCAGAAGGATGCCCCCTCTAGACCCCACAGTTAGCCCACCCTGGAGGACAAAGACATTGGGCGGCTGGCTGGATGCAGGGTCGACTTCATGCGTCGTGACCCGAGAGTTTGTGTCGCTGCAGGGGGAGGTTCGCACGGCATGCGCAAGCGAGGCGAAGGAGTTCACGTCAAACAGACAGGCTGAGTCGCGGCGCAAAGGGCTCCACCAGCATCGGGTCTGAGCAACTGGAGGGGAGCGGAAGAGACCGCACCTGCATGGTGGCTGCCTGGCTGAGACGCCGGCGCCGTCGCAGTCGCGTCGGGCACGACTGGAGGGCGCGCGAGGCCGTGGAAAAATTATCAACCACGGCCAACTCCTGTTCGCATCCAGAGTGTCGCATGCAGCACGCAAGCGGCTTAGCGTGAGGTACCGATGAGTGAGCGATGGCGCCGGCCGCGTCTATCTCGCCCGCGGGCTGCTGCGATCGCCCATGCGCCGACGCCACCAGCAGCCAGCACCCCACACGCAGCACGCCGTCTCCCACACTGACACCTGCCTGGAGCTTGGAGATGCGCGCCCGTCCACGCCTGCCAGTGCGCGACAATGCTGCCCAAGAAGTGCTCCATCCTCCTACCCTCGTACACTAACCTCAGTCCCCTCTACTACTCCCACGCTGGGAGCTGCGCAGGTCCCCAGCCGGGCAAGTCATGCCGTCATAGATTCGCACGTCCTGAGGCCGCAACACAGCGCCGCTCCTACGCCCAACACCAGGACGCGCCCGCCTACCGCGATGACGCAGAGCTGCTCAGGTGGCCGGACGCCGTGAAGCCGCACAAGACACCCACGCCCTACCAGATCCTGAAGTGCCGCAAGGGCGACGCCTACACGAAGCACCGCTTCTATGCCCTCGTCAAGCTCTACCACCCCGACCGCTGCCATGCCGAGTCGGCCATCGCCCAGCTGCCCCTCCACGTGCGTCTCGAGCGCTATCGAATGCTAGTCGCCGCCCACGACATCCTCTCCGATGTCCAGAAACGCAAAGCGTATGATGCCTGGGGCCACGGCTGGGCCGGTCACCACCAGATGCCCATGGGCCCCCGTCATAACGACTGGCACTATGATCCACATCGCTGGAATACGGATCCGCGTACGAATGCGACCTGGGAGGACTGGGAGCGCTGGCACTACGAGAACGGCGGCGGCGCCAAGGACACAGACGCCCGCGCGATTCAGATGTCCAACTTTACCTTCATGGCCCTCATCTTTGCCTTCGTCAGCATAGGCGGCGTCGTGCAGGGCACGCGCTTCAACACCTTCAACAACTCGGTCATAGAGCGGCGCGACCAGATCCACCGCGAGGCGAGCATGGAGTACAGCCGGAGCAGAAATGCCACGCTGAGCTCAAGTGGAGATCGCGACGAGCGCATACGCACCTTCATTAATCACAGGGAGTCGACTATAGTCGGCGAGCAGTCCTACCAGCGCTTACTCCCGCCTGCCGACACCTGCTCGCCTGATGAGATCAGGAGGCAGTAAAATGAGCACATTGTGGTGCCTGATAGATTTGCTATACCCTCCAGCACATTTTGGTGCTATATCGTACGACTGTTATTACTTCGCGGCATGAATGGAGCTAGGGCGTTCGGTTCTGTATGTATCATTCGGCAGGCGGCACATATGCGCGCGGCGGGCATATCCTAGCCCTCATGCGCTCAGACACCACACAAATTCAACGACAATCACCAACAGCACCCCCGCCGTGCTCGTGATCGTGTACTCGTTTTTCTTCTTCCAGCACCCTGGCCGTCGATCGCAGTATGACGGCGGCGTAGAATATCAACACTGGCAATATATCGAAGATGATCTACGCCAGAAGCAGCATGGCTTCCGCGCTATCGTCTACACCTAGGGTAGCAGAGCCTCAAACACTGCTGCAACTGTGTCACGCGGGTCCAGTCCCCTAGATGATGTTCCAGCTTGGCAATAAGCGAGATATCTCCAGGGTAGGGTATATGACAAGTTTTATTACTACATGTATGCGAACGCATGAATGCTCGCGCCACCAATGCTCCATCTCAACGTTTACCGATGGCGATCAGTAATAACTTACGCGATTCTAGGTTTGCACCACCACCTGACATGCTCGCCAACAGCTGCACCTGCATCCACGACTCACCCCCTGCGCAATCGCCCCGCGACCTATGGTGTCGTCGACACGCCATTCCTCATGTTGTCGAACTTGGAGTCGGGATACAGTAGCCAATTGGGCGATGACTCGATGCCTGCACCACTCCCGCCGCCCATCTTCTCGACAACCTTTATACGTTAGCAAGCTCGTCTCCACTCTCAGACGCCCACGACTCACGTTTGTCACGATGCTCCCGCTGTCATCTGTCCTGTCACCGCTGATCTCCCACCACATTGCGCCACCCAATCCTTGTTCTGCAATGTAGTCGACCTTCTTGAGCGCCATGGCCACAGTATCATAGCTGACGAACTCGCCACTCGCTTCGTCGTAGCTGTACGTTGCGCCAGCCTCTTCATCGTAGTACTCCTGTGCACCTGCAAGGGGCAAGTCCTTGAAGTCGTAGACGCCTCGCTCAAACGATCCGGTGCCGATGCCACTAAACGACGTTCCTAGACCCTGAGTGTTGGTGAAGGAGCGACCGTAGAGCGGCATGCCAAGATTGAGCTTGGAGGAAGGAACGCCCGCGGCGCTGTAGGCGGCCAGAACGGAAGCTGTATTGAAGGGCGTGCTCAGGGGAGTCGAGGTCGAAGGGTAAAGGTTCGATTGATGGCCAGTCTGGTTATCCCAGGAGCCGGCGTAGTCGTATGCCTATGTTTGCGTTAGTTTATTTGTTGCTGCATTTGGAGAAGCCAATACTTACCATCAGATTGATAAAGTCTGTAACCGCACTGATCTCTTTCAATGGCAGATGCTTGTAGTTCTTCTCTCCTGCCGGCGAAGCAATAGTCAAGAGGAACTTGGGCTTCAGCTTGCGTCCAGACTCATCTTCGTACACAAGCGTATCGGCATACTCATCCATCTGACTTCTGATCTCCTTCAACAGTGCGAGCAACTGCCCGCCTTGCTCCTTGTTGGTGGGATACTCCCAATCCACATCAATGCCATCGAAGCCGTAGTCGCGAATCAACTCCACACACGAAGACGCAAAGCGTTGCCTACCCGCAGCCGTAGCCATGGGTCCATCCATGTGCTTGGCAACGTTTGTATACGTCCAACCACCTACACTGAGCAACACCTTCAAGTTCCTGTTCTTGGCCTTGAGGATCTGAAGCTGCTTCATCGATCCGTAAAGATTGTTGCCCACGTCGTTCCATGAATCAGTCGGGTAGTGCTTTTCCGCGTCGGCGTATGTGTCGGTGAGGAAGACGGTGCCGTCGGGCTTGTTGTCGGCGAAGGAGTAGAGGAGGTGGGTGATTCGCTCTGCGGGTATCTGCTGGGGCTGGAAGTTGCGTGCGTAGATGTCCCAGTTCCCGTAGTAGGCTACTGAGCGGTAGCCGGGGTGGGTGGGGATGTTGGGGTTGGTGGGTTCGGGTGGTGTGTCGCTTGCTGTGGGCTCTGGTGGGGGAACGGCGTATGATGGCGTGGCTGATAGCGAGGGCTGCGTGGTCGCATAGCTTATAACTATGGATGAAGAGGAAACAGTAAAAGTAGAGGCTGACACTGAGGGCTCCGTGGTCATATAGCTGGTGACTAGAGATGAGGATGGAACGACAAAGGTAGAGGCTGAACTTTGGGGTGGAGTCGTTGCGTATGAAGGCGTAGCTGAGACTGAAGGTTGCGTGGTCACATAGCTGATGACCATGGATGAGGAGGACACAACCCAGGTGGATGCTGAGCTTTGATAAAAGCCGGATGTGCTCAAGCTAGCATAGTATTCGCTTGATGAGCTCGGCGTTGCGGTGGAGACGGCAGATGTCAGGATGGGTGGTGAGGAACTAACGAAGCTGTAGGCTGAACTCTGAGGCAGACCGGATGTGCCGAAAGTGGTGTAGTGTTTGGTTGATGAGCCTGGCGTTGCGGTGGAGACGGCAGATGTCAGGATGGGTGATGAGGAACCAAAGAAGCTGTAAGCTGAACTTTGAGGCAGGCCGGATGTGCCAAAGGTGGTGTAGTATTTGCTTGATGAGCTTGGGGTTGCGCTGTATGCAGCAGATGTTGGAGAGTACGACTGAGCTGCATACGAAGAATAAGAGTCGCCACCGTCAAACTATATTGTGGTCAGCATGATCGATGCCGCAGAAGGAGATTGGCCTTGACTTACCAGAGCTTGCTCTATCTTCGCATACTCTTTTTCAAGCGTCTCGACCCTGAGGAGCAAGCATTCTCGATCACACTCGTCTTGCGTCTCCTGGGAAGAAGCGAGAGGGGTGAGTAGAAAGATGGTGGCGCATAGCCAGGTTGGTAACAATCGTGCGTACTGCTTGTACTGTCAGTCTCATGAATAACATGCTCATGTCACTTGTGTTCTTCTGACATACCAGCATGGTTCGCACCACTACACTTCAGTAACAGTCGTAGTAAACAAGTGATTATGTATTTTGTTTCTGGATACCAGTTACAGCGGGTTTCTCTCCGTTCTTAAAACCTCCCCATCTCGCCTGCCGTTGCCCCATGCTCCCACCCTCCTCCTTTCTTATCCAGATATTCCTCGTGGGATCTGCGATACTCGCATGCATATTAGGCGTTGTTTACAGCATGTCTTAGTACCTTTCGGGCTGGTCGTTCCTTGGACGTGAACGATCAAATGCGCGTGTTGTTGTCCGTCCTTGGAAAAGGGTCCCGCTTGTTTTGGTAAGCAGGGACTTCAGGGAGTGGTTTGCGAGGTCGGTGCATGCAGGCACGCTACCTAAACGTGATAAAGACTAGCGCACACTGCCGAAGATGTGGATGAGGTGGGTATGAATACACCATGATGTGCAGAACTTAGGAGACGGGTTTGGGGCCGAAGATGGCTGGGTGCGGTCGTTTGGGGTGACGGGATCGTATCCTAGACTCTTGTGCTGGGTATCGAACGGTACGCAAGGCTGGTGGTACCTGGCGATAGACCGGTTGTGGTAATGTGTTCGCCTCCTGTGCGGCGGAGGTCCTTCCGATCAACATCTACTCGGCTCAAGGCCATGCATTTTCAGCCTCTGCTCTACCGCCTTCTTCGTCTTCCTCCTCCTGAAAACCAGCACGAAAATTACCACAGTCAGTAATGCAGCACAGGCCTGCACAATACCAACATACCAACTCGCACTCTGCACACTGCGTTAGCAAGCCCTCTATTCGAATCCTTCCAGATCATCCACTTACCTGCACATTACAATAACTGCCAAAGTTAATGTCGCCCACGAATTCTTTTTGAATTGCCCTCGCACCAGAACTACACGTCCAGCCCCAAAGATCGTCGCTCTTCCCATTTTTGTCCTTCTCGGTGCGATACACAGTAGCGGCTACACACCACACAATGAAGTTCCCCAGCATATTGACCCAGCTAAAGGTACTCGTGACAACAGCGGCTACATTGGCCTGTTCGATACCACACTTGTACGAAAAGATCGTTGCGAAGTTGAGTAGTACAGAGACGGCCGCGACGCCAAAGTACATGTACGTTGGCCATGCCCGTGTATTCTTCGCCCAGGGCGTGCGTAATATATTCTCGCCACTGGGTAGTCGGACGACGCGGTGGATACTGCGTGTGCTGAGAAACTTGTGCAGGGTAAGAGCCGTGAGTACGAGAACTGCGATAGAGATGAAGAGGGCTAGGGTGCGCGATATAAGGCGTAATTTGCGGATACGTATCTTGAGGTCCTGGTGTGTATGTTAGTACCACTGGTGCTCGCTTGCAGCACTTCTTTGTTGGGGGCGTACCCTGTCTTCGTTTGCCGCTTCTTTGAGCTCCTCAAAATCGCCATGAGGTAGCGGTTGACTGTACTGTGCGCTCTGATCGTCGGTAGCCAATTGGAGAGTGATCGCGGGTATCGGTCTGTTAGATGTGAACTTGGAAGAAGTCATGGTCGATGGTAGCAAGTGTTGTAGGTCTTGCTCCTGCGAGGGGCGTCGAGGCATAGTATGTATGCGCAGTCATTGGATATTTGTCGAGCGCAACAAAGAATTTCGTGTGTCCCTTTTACAACACGCCGGAAGTCATGTAGATAGTTGGGGTGGCTTTCAAGTTGGACATGGGGGTTTCCCGATTTGTACCAAGATCTTCGTGGTGATCTCCGTGTTGTTACATCAGCAGCCTCAGCTCCTCCAGCTCCAAACATCAGTCGATTGATAGTTCCGCCGATCGCGCCGTAATGTATCAGCAAAGCTGAACTGCAGTGCTGATGACGTGCCGCTTGTGGCTGCGGTTGACCGTAAGCGGTATCGTGGTCGTGGCTGAGCTGATCCTGATTCGCCGAGTTGCCCACAGACTGTGCTTAGTGATGATGTCGCTATTCTGGGAATTGGTTGTCGTCGGCTGTTCATTTGAGGATTTCATGCTCGAGCTGGGCTGTCTATCGGTAAGATGGCTTTACGCCCTTCCGGCAGGTGCACAACACAAGATTGGAAAGAGCACCAGCCCATCAGTCGCTGCACTCCCTCGAATCCGCTTTATTCTTATGTGAGGACTAGTGGGTTGCTGCACCTCGTACATGGAGGTAATTGAACAGGTGCGCTGCAGTCTACGTTAGCATAGAAAACGAAGTTGGCAGAATCCTAAGATAATGTCGACCCTGACGTGATTTCTGGTGCTCAGTGTGGGAGGTAATCATGGAGAATCTCTTTTTCAAACAGGGTGGCTTTTCCAGCCGCAGTCGGTCTTAGATGGATTTGATTGTGTTGCATGCGGCGACCTGTTCATGAGCGCAGTGGTACAGCTATTCCCAGCGTCGTGCTGAGATGATTGCAATACTGACTAGCACTGGTTCTCCCTCGCGTAACCCCGTCAGAGTTGCAGCTATCGCTGGAGGACGGACTGCTGTGTGAGCCATTCCTCAAGTTTCTTCTGTGCATCTTTGTCCACCAGACAAAACTTGATGGTACCCATTTCACTCATTCCCTCTTGCTCGACGGGTACACGGTCCAGGCCGGCAACCTCTTTCACTTTCTCTGCAGTGTTCAACAGTCCTCCCAATCTGAAAAGAAGCATCATTTCCCCATCAGCACCAGAGGTTGGTATGAAGGCGCTCTGGCTCTTGAAGACTTTGAGGAGGGAAAGATTATGCTCATAAGCCTCGCGATCGTAGCCTATAGCTTCTTTTTCGGTCTGGACAAGTTCCCAATGATCGTTGGTAATTCGCTCCCGGGTGACTGTAGAAATGCATCAGTATATGACAGTTCCACATTTGATAACCAGGACCAGGCGGTGTCACTGACCATCACCGCGTTGATCACTGATCAGACGGACAGCTTCGATTCGGGAATATCCAAAGAGTCGCATCCAGCGCTCGATAGTTTCCGATGTCGGGTATTGGGAAGCAATCTGCGCGTCAGAGGCTGATGCTGCATGCGCCATGCGCTCCAATTCGTCCCAACCAGCGTCCATAGTCGTGTAGCTGAAGTAGATTCTTCAAAGGTTGACTTGCGTGGTGCGATGCGCAATGATGCCAGGCGCGTGCGCGAGGTGGTGCTGTGGGCACCAAAGTCGGCTATTTATGGGTTTCAGGCTGCTTTCACATCGCGCCTGATGATTTTGGTGTGACGCGCAGCTTCAGTCTCAACTGGCAGAGTGGTCGTTCTTTCCATGGTTTGAGTGAGGGAGTCACGACTGGAGCGACTCACCACCTGGGCAGCACGGATCCATTCCGGGCTCACTAGGCCGTGTTTGGGACTTTGCGCGAACGTACCAGACTGTAAGAAATCATGACTCAGCTGCCCGCGACACTGGTGTGGTCTTCTACTTCGCTAACAGAACATCTTTTCGTGGTACGTGTGCGCGACCGAGAACAGTGGAGAGCCTGCATCGCCATTTGGGCGCTCATCAAAGCGGAGGAGGTTACAGGGTACGAACAGATAAGGGGAGTTCACGATGGAACTGCTGGAACAAGATCAAGCGGGTAAACGCTGTATATCGAAGATTCCTGCGATGGATGCCTAGGTGTTATCGGAAGCAAATATCCCCCTCATCGGGGACAAGCGACCACGCGCGTCGGGAATGGCCTGTCTTCTTGGTGGCATCTCGCAAGTTTCACCAGCTTCGGACTCCTTGGCAGCCAGATGCGCGCAGTACTCGCACGTTTGCAGGCTGCAACCTCATCCTTCTGCACAATTACACGCGCTGCTGCTGCGAGTCGCTACGAGACAGGCGTCTAGACACACGACTTATCGAGTGATCAAGAAACGTTGCAAGTGGATCCATTCTATTGTAAAAGATGGCACTTTACTCCTAAGCGACCCTCAGTTGCGCCTGAGCTCTTTAGCCTCCGACGCAACGGTCGCACAACCATAATTACCGAGGCGTATTGCACGCGAGAAATGGACAGAATTCGTCCGAGTAAAAAGTACGACTTCGCCAGAGCCAAGATGTCCGATGCAAAATGCGGGGAACGCGTGGCATCTCCATGGACAGCAGACCCAGTGGACTGGAAGCAGAATACCCGTAGTCAAAAACGAACTCGGAGGTCATAACTATCCGCTCCCGTGTGCGAACAGGGCGCGATACGGTTCCGAGGAACTAACGCCTGTGAACATGTGTACGCCTCGTGGGTCTGGCTCCTCTTTATCCTTGCGGCAGTTCATGTGAATGGCTGTTGCAGCGGAAGCGCCACAGGGACCCTGGCGCGTTGGTAGTGCGATTGAGTTCTATACCTAGATACTTAAAAGGGTCAATCCTTCTCGAGAACTTCTCCCCAACAGACGAAAGCTGCCACGGCTGCGTGTTCACCTCACATAGTTCTGTTACCAACATGCACAACTCCATCCTCTTAGCCGCTTGGGCTGGCATTTCTTTTGTCCTCTACAAGATCATCTCCTCGATCATCATCTCGCGTCGCCATGCTGCTAGAGCACGTCAATTGGGCTGTTTGCCTGCCCCTGAGACTCAGCAGTCTCCATTCGATCCCCTTGGACTCCAGAATGTTGCCAAAATAATGAAGGCGGACAAACAGTCCCGTATACCGCAGTATTTGAAAGGTCGCGTTGATGATGCGTGCGCGAGGGAAGGCAAGATCGTCAACACATTCCATCAAAAGATCATGGGCGCAGAGGGATACTTCACAGTGGAACCAAGGAACATCCAGGCTATACTGGCCACGCAATTCAAGGACTACGGGTTAGGAGAAAGGCGAAACGGGAACTTTGCTCCACTACTCGGCCATGGCATTGTAAGTACTATTCTCAGGAATGCGACAAGAACGTCAGACGCTGACATCAAGCAGTTTTCCAGCGATGGCGAGCAATGGGCGCATGCGAGGTCATTACTTCGGCCACAGTTCGCTCGCGACCAAGTCAGCGACTTGGACCTTGAGGAAGAACATATGAAGAACATGATGCGCGTACTGCCTACCAACTCAGACGGCTGGACAGATGTCACGGACCTGAAGCCGCTTTTCTTCCGCCTGACGCTCGACAGCGCCACAGAGTTCCTCTTTGGCGAGAGCGTTGACTCTCAGCTCGCATCCCTACCCGACTACAAGTCTAGTAAGCCCCCAATGGCTGTCAACGAACAAGACTTTGCCACGTCCTTCGACCAGGCGCAGAACACCATTGCCCAAGCTAGCCGTCTCGGAGAGGCCTACTGGCTCGTATACGACAAGGCGTTCAAAGACCACTGTAAACGCTGCCACGACTTCATTGATCACTACGTCCAACTGGCATTATCAAAGGAGAAGGGTACTACCCAGGAGAAGTCACATGGCAAGCAAAAATACGTCTTCCTTGATGGACTTGCAGAGTCTACCCGCAACCCCATCGAGCTTCGCGAACACCTGATATCGATTCTACTAGCCGGTCGCGACACGACGGCATCGCTACTGTCGTACGTCTTCATGCTCCTTTCAGAGCACCCGGAAGTCTACAACGCCCTACGCAGTGTCGTGTTGGAAACTTTCGGCACCTATTCGAACCCCAAGAACATAACATTTGAGTCGCTGAAGTCATGCAACTATTTGCAGTGGATTTTGAACGAGACTCTGCGTCTGTACCCTGTCGTCCCTGTTGATGGTCGCCGTGCCCTCAAGGATTCTACCCTGCCCATGGGCGGCGGTCCAGATGGCACAGCACCTCTCTACGTCAAGAAGGGCATGCAAATAGACTACAGCGTATACATCATGCACCGTCGAGCTGATCTCTGGGGTCCCGACGCTGAGGAATTCCGACCCGAGCGCTGGAATGGAAGGAAGAGTGGATGGGAGTATCTTCCTTTCAACGGCGGCCCAAGAATCTGCATCGGGCAGCAGTTTGCCCTGACAGAAGCTGGATATGTCGTCGTAAGGTTGATGCAGAGGTTTGAAGCGATTGAGGGTGTTGGTAATACTTGGGAACCGAAGGAGAAGGGTGGTATGGGTTATGTCAGGAATGGGCTCAGCTTGACGACATGCCCCGCGGATGGTGTTAAGTTAAGGTTGAAGGAAGCCAAGGAGTAAGCTGGTTGTAGATAGATTGGTGGATCACGATTAGAAAATGTTATCCTTCCATACCTCTATTGAAGGATGCGACGAGATTGTACCAAGCATCTCGACAATACTGCAGTTAAACATGTGTATTGCTCGTTCGGCTGAACGCTGTGTCCACCCTCATCAGTTATCCTCCGATATCAAAAGCAGCGCGTCAGTGATAGTAATTCTAAATCGAAGCGTGCAACTGAGGAGCGTGGCCAATCCCCCAGACTGTGGCGCGGCGCTAGGACCGACGGGCGAGGCAAGGATCCGTCGGCGGGACATTTCCAAACTTTTGATGCACTCCAACATCTTCGGAACCAACACGCACCACATCGCCCAATATGCGGAGAGCGCGTGGACTTCGGGTGAGGAAAAGCAAAGCCAATTATCAACAAACACATTCTGACTAACAATGGCAGGCCTCTTCAA